TAAGAAAAGGACATCAGCTGCTATCATTCTGGGTAGCACCATGCACTCCTGTGTCAGACAATGCTTTCTTAGTCATGCACCACCTACGTGTAGTTTAGGGAAATGTTCTCCCCTAGATTATATTCCATTTTTCTTTATTCCCATGTCAATAGAATCGATATTTCCCATTTGCAACCCCCGGTTTGGTGGTTTTTCATTCTCGAGAGTCAGCCTGACAGGCAAAAGTGACTAAATATCTCATGGAAATACCACAGTACTCGGTGCAATTCCACCTTTGATACTGGTTGCACTTATGTCATTAGCACAGCAATCAGTGTGCTGTGTGGTAGTCAATACACATCATTACTCATTCTTAAACAAGCATGCCCGGTTCAGCTTCAGTGTAAGAGAAGCTGACACAAGCATGGCAAATACTCCCAGTGATTTCTAAGGGGCGTGCGAAAGGGAGCAGTTTTCTCTCACGTGGCTTTGCAGAGGAATTTCTAACCCACGGTGCCTTTAATCAGGATTAGGCGATAGCATCTGAAGCACAGGCAGCTGGGGCTCCGTTCTTCGCTCTCCTCAGCTGCAAAACTGTGTCGGTGAGCTGATAACAGACAAGCACTCAAAAACCTATTGCAGGCACAAACGCCTCTCTTCAGGAGCTGTCCTGGAGAGATGGGGGTGAACCTCGCCCAGCGTGCAGGGCAATAGGACTCCCATTACCTACAGAGGTATTAGAAAAGCGTTCCCAGATGAAAGCCTTTATCCAATTTCAATTGTCCACTGAACAACAACAACATTAGGAGCAACATTTCTCCATTTGCTTCTGTGTCAAACAGTACAGAGACTGTTTAGCATTACATTTTGTTTCCCTGAGTAGCTGAAACTACTGTGAGAGTAGAGAAGTATTTACATCCAGAAAATCTGCATTCCTCAAAGCAGATGTTTTTAATTTTAATAACATCAGCCTCTAGAAATGAATATCTGAAATATTCTGATCACTGAGTGCATGTTGTTGTTAAGGAGTAACAGTCCATCATAGTGAGTTTGCAGAAAACATCATGGGCAACCAGGAGAAATGAACTTCTGCTAACTGTGCTACCAAGAACAATTCTGCATTTTTTTTCCTTCGAAAGCCACTTAAAATGTCCTCCTGTGCAGAAGAATTACATTTTCTGCACTGTAGATGTGTCATATTATAGAAAATTGCACATGTAAAATTTTCTGTAGTGTGAGCCTTTACTTTCCCACACATGCAGCCCAGATGTGTGCATGCACATATCACACAAAATGGGCATGTACTCTTTTTACAAGCCACGACATATCTTTATGAATAGCACACAAATGGAGTAAGGGGAAGCCCTTTGTGGACTCCAGGGTATGCAGGGCAGAGTCCCTGCACTCCAGGTAAAGAAAGGTGTATGGATGTGCAGTACTCACTTTTCCCACTACTCTGTCCATATGCAGACTGCAGGCTAGTGTAGTCGTCCTTGAAGTGCCTGTAAAAAAGTGCTTGCAGCCCTTTAGTGCAACAGAATGGAGCTCAGTACAGGCTGCTTTTCTCAGTGAAAAAGACTAAAACTAGCCTTCACTGTGGTCTGCCTCCCTAGTCAAGACTGGTAATGGTAGATAAGCTATTGACTATGTACAATTTTTTTTTCATCAGCAGTAGGCACATGCAAAACTTCAATTCATACAAATAGATGCCACTCTGATGAAAAGTTGGCTTAAGCAGAGCAATTTGTACAGATGAGGTTTGTATTTGTGAGTTTTTGTGGTCTTTTTCCCATGGATGTCTTTTGTACATGTTGTTCCACACATTATTTGGATTATTTGGATATCTGAACTGATTGTTCTACAACCTTTCTTAATAAAACTGGGGCTCTGAATCCACTTGTCTGTTTTATTATTAAAAAAAAAAAAAAGGAAGAAAAGGAAAAAAAACTGCACACACAGGAAAAAGAGCAGTGTGACTTTCAATTAGCTGCATGTGAGGAAAAAAAAAAAAAAAAAAAAAACTAAAAGGACTTTTTTGAAAAGAACATGTTTAACTGCATATGCTGCATCTGCATTCTGCTTTCATAGCTGTTACGTTTCAAGTGACCAGTCTCTAAGAGTGCCATACTGCCTGCATGTGTGCATGCTGAGGTAGGAAAAGCTAGACATGAAGCAAGTGTTTCAAAATCTACATTTCCAAATCACTGCAGCCCAGCAGCAGACCACTGGACCTACCAGCTATCTCTTGTTTTCTAGGCAACCTAACCTGGATCTAAGCGCTCAGGGTAAGCAATATCAGGATTTGGTCATAAGAAAGAGGGAAAACAAGGCATGAAGACAGATAAAAAATATGCTTAGCACCTTAGATGCAAATATGTTTGCATTTTACAAAACAGTTTGAGGATTTATGAATGTTTTTGGATCTTTTTATAGCAGAACATGACTCTGAAAAAACATTGGGTTTAAATCCTTGAAGTGCAGAACCTGCACTTACTTCAAGGAACATTAGACTCTTTACCACTTGGAAATCCTCCCCCTGAGGTACCTATATTTATTTTAGCACGTGACTCATTTCTAAAAAAAAAAAAAAATCCCTTCAAAACTAAAGCTGTAGTTTAGCTCTATGGATGCATCAATTATCTCAAACCTTAATAGTATTAAAGTAACTAGAAAGAACACAGCCTAATGTGCTCATTCTGAGATGGAAGGTGGAACATTACTTCTGACTAAAAGTTTTGTGAATCAGACTATTAAAAGGTAATGCCAGTGACACCATAAATAATCACAGCATATCCGTGCAGTGCTCAGATGTAAATTCTTGTGCCAGCATTGCTCCCATGAAAATCTCAGGGAATTTTGTCATTGAACTGAGGAGCACAGGGCTGGATTTCTGTGTTCCAGGGAGGGCTGGGAGGGGGAATATGGGTTATTCTTTTCTATGTAGGTATCTTTAGATGTACCTGCAAAATAGTTGAGTCATAAAACCGTTGAATCCTTGTGTTTTGCTGCTAAAGAGAATCCATAAAATGCGATTTATTATCATATTTCCTTTTTGTATTGCACCGTTCCCCTCCATCATAAAATATTCTCGTCGGTTTATAGCAAAGCAAATATAGCAGCTTAGTTCATAAACGCCGAATTCTTCTCAGTTACACTCCGGCTTTCAGACATAATGGAATTAGCTGCGATGTGTGTTGATGCCGCCGCCCCGAGCCGCAGTAAGGAGGCTTATGGAGAGCTGCTGTGTGCAGAGGGCTCCTTGTGCAAGTGACCGAGCTGGACCCTCACCAGCCCGCAAGTCTGCAGGAACCCGTCCGAGCAGTTCTAACTTTGATTCTTCCTGACCAAGATTTAAAGCGGCCCTGTACAGCAGTCAAACAAGAATAATCAGCTGTGGAAAATATAACAAATGGTAAGAGCAGGGTAGCAGAGAGAGAGGGCGCAGATCAAGCCTGCTGCTCGGAGTGCCCTGCATGGGGACAGGCGGGTCGCCTGCCTGGTCCCTGACCCCGTCATGACGGCCAAGGAGGCGCTCGGGGAAAAATCCCTTCTGCTGAAGGGAAGCTCGTGGCTTCAGGACAAACTCTGGGATTAAAAAAAAAAAATTAAAAAAAAAAAAATTGAAAAAAACCCAGTAGAATCAAAATCAGCATTGAGGCGGGGAGATTCCGTGTAATTTTTTAGTTTTGACCACTCACTCGGGGTCCCCCGCGGGCGGTCCCGCTCAGTTCCCAGCCCAGGGAAAGGTGTCTTCTGCGGCAGAGACGGCCGGGGGGCTGGCAAGGGGAACCCGCCCCAGCGTGCAGGTAGCCACAAGCCAGGCCGTAATTACAAAGCAAACAAGGGTGAAATATTGAATCGGCCTCGCCCGTGACAAGATCTGCGCTTTTTGCCGCCAATTTGTTTGTGGAGCTCTATTTAAAGGCGCTTGATTGAGGAAACGTTGAAAATAGCAGTTAGGGTTTCCCTAATGAGACCTCTAGAGGAAAGCAGTGGCATTCAGGGGGCTACAGCAGGAGGAGGGGAAGCGCTTAACCCTTTCCAGCCGCCCCCAGCCCGGCGGGGCTGCTGCCGGGCCCGTGAGGTGCTCTGGGCAGGGGGCCAGCCCTCCGCCTCCCCCTCGGCCTCTGGCAT